ATGAAGTCCTCTCTAGCAAGAGAGCTGGTCGTGTATTGTGATTTATGATAAGTCTTAACTCGGGGATATTGATGTAATTATGAAAACACTTCAGTTGGGATGCTTATGACGACGTCTGAAGTTTTTAAAAAATGCTGACAGGTGACTCTATGGAACGAAAAGATACAATGCCACATTAAATTTATTACAGTTATATTTTGCAGTATTTCGCTAGAAAACCTGGAGATGAAACATAGAAAAATAAATTAAAGAAAGGAGTAAAAAAACTGACAAAGAGGAGAATATATCGGCTTTTCCATAAAATACAATGTATCCACTTGTTGAACTTGGCTCTAAAAAGATCTAAGTTTATCTAACGGTAGAGGGTTTTAATTTTAAAACCTATATAGAGAATGATCATGAACCCAGGTTTTTATATCGAGAGGGTATTCTCTAGTTAAGCTTTAAGGTCATCAAAATCCTAGTTACTTGTGAATTAATCATCTCACTTGCATTTTGGTTGACCTTGATGTAGCCAGTGGCTTACAGATTTTACCAAGAATCATAACGTGACAAGGAAGTGAACCTGGCGGACCATGAAACAGTATTGGCTCTTCAATAACATGGTAAACAGTAATAAACAATCAATAAACAGTATTGGCTCTTCAATAACATGGTGTGTTTGTTTGAAGACGGGTTGATTTCGATCACAACCGATTTTTCATTCTCCTTTTTGGAGGTACTTTACCTTGTTGACTATGTAGCAATCGTTGGCGAAATTGTTCGCAATACGTTTGCAACACGTTACACATTTTTGACTCTCCACGACTTTTTTCTTTTTTAATTCCTCTGTGCATCGACTTTCTTCAGAGAAAAAAGAGAAGAGAAATTGGAACGTTTTAATGTCACAACAGGTAATGAGGTTATGTTAATCTTGTTTGCCAGTTTTCTGGTGGACTCTGTGTGTCACTTTCTAAGAATGGTGTGAGAAAACAATGCGGGTAGTAAAGTAGGTTGTTTAAGTCTGACTCACTGCGAAAGAAAACACCGGTCGCA